TTGTCTAGCCGTTCGCCATCTAGGTAGCCAGAATCACGGCTGGTCTAGACGCTCTCACTCGCTTTCTCCTATTACGATGTAAGCAGCCACCGTGAGTAGAATACAGCTGTTTCTACACGGTGACGACGGCGCACTCCACTTGTGAATGTCGTGAGGTAACTCTTCAATGCGCGTTTTGTCGCTTACTCAATGCATAGTAAAACAACTGTACCCGGCTACTTTCTCATGCTAATTACTTTTTACACATTCAGGATGCCGTGAGAGTAGTAGAGGTACGTGTAACGACAGTCTAACTTTTTCGGTACCAATGCATCAGGCAGCGAATACGCCCATGACACGATACAAAAATCTTAGTTCTTAAGACTCGAACACATTACATTTGCTGCATCCAAAAGCACCTGTTGCTCATGTGTGCAGATTTATCCCATACTTGCGAGTTAGAAAAACAAGATGACTGAAATTGCCGAAGCATGGTATTGGGAAAATAATGATGTTTTAGGATGATAAACCACTTAATCATGTGGTTCTCAAAGGTTTCCTCAGATTCATCATAAGTTGGGTCACCATAATCACGCCAACGGCCAGCCGTAAGCAAAAAGAAGAGCACCCGCGTCTGAATATTACTCGATGAAGTTATCAAAAAACTAACAATTGGTAACGTTTATGGTCTAATTGAATGCGCCAAAAACTAATACCAATACCCTGTCGCAGTAATCAATGCGTCCATGAACAAAATAAGAAACTTCCGCATTCCGTACTGGGACCGCTTTCGAGAACTAAGAAAGCAAGATGTTACCCTTTATAACACACTAGAATAACTCCTCACTCCACTTAAAAAAGATGTTGCTAAATCTACTGAGGACATTGCCACAGATCGAGAGCCCGAGCGTATGGACAGCCGCCTCGCTCACCTTCGCGATGATAAAAATGCACTTCACGCGAGATGGCGAACACGAAAGCTCAACCATAATCTTCCCAAAAAGTTTGCTGATCTCAACCGTCAAATCAATGACTACTGCCGCACCCTTGAGCCTCAGCAGTGGGACAAAGTGTGCAACTCCGTGGAATGTCAAATGAGAAACGGGGCCAAATGGAACTTGTTGAAACGCCTACTAGGTGACAAGCCATCCAGTGCGTCTCAAGAACTCACTATAGACAGACTGATACACAAACTCAAGTCCTCGGGTAGCACACACACTCAGATCGTTGATGAGCTAGCAGCACGTTACTTGTGCATCGACCCTAGCTCACCCGCTGAGTACCCGGACGCCCCGGAAGCGGTGAAGGGGGGTTCACTCTGGGGCCACTTCACGTGCTTTGAGGTAAAGGGCAGTCCTTGGTGACCTATATTGCCGTTCAGCCCCGGGCCCCGACAGCATACAGAACAAACTTCTTAAAAATCTCCCCCCCCCCCCGATTGGCGGGAGGCGTCTGTCATACTAATCCACAAGCCGGGCAAACCTTTAGCCATAGGCTCACTTCGCCCAAACTCGCAGACGTCCTTTGTGGGTAAAGTTGCTGAGCATGTCATCCTCAAGCCCCGCCGCGGTGGTCTAGAGACTAAAGTACTCGGCTGCTGACCCGCAGGTCATGTGTTTGAATCCCGGCTGCGGTGGCTGCATTTTCGATGGAGGCGGAATTGTTGTAGGCCCGTGTGCGCATATGGGCACGTTAAAGCACCCCAGGTGGTCGAAATTTCCGGAGCCCTCCACTACGGCGTCTCTCATAATCATATGGTGGTTTTGGGACGTTAAACCTCACATATCAATCAATGTCATCCTCAAACGAGTCACCAAATTTGTTGAGGAGCGACAACTACTACTATTCAACCAAATCGGTTTCCGTCCATTTATGTCCACACAGGAAGTCTCGACGATGCTAAAACACGAGCTTTTGGACGAAGTCACCTGATATACGAGAGCAATCTTAGCACTCGATCTTGAGAAAGCGTTCGACCAATTGATATGATTGATGTGTAGGGTTTAACGTCCCGAAACCACGATATAATTATGACAAATGCCGTAGTGGAGGGCTCCAGAAATTTTGACCACCTGGGGTTCCTTAACGCGCACTGAAATCTGAGCAAGATGGCCTACAGCATTTCCGCCTCCATCGGAAATGCAGCCGCCAAAGCCCGGGTTTGATCCCGTGACCTGCGGGTCAGCAGCCGAGTACCTTAGCCATTAGACCAACACGACGGGGCCAAAGCCTTCAACAGAGTAAAGTACTCACACATTGTTGCCTTTATTAAAGAGGCCGAATTAGGAACACGCTTTTATAACTATGTTAGCTCGTTTACTCGCTAATAAAAAGGTACCTTGAAGCTAAGTCTAATGGGCTCACAGCAATTCAACCTAAGGTCGAGAGGCACACCTCAAGGGGCTGTAATCTTTCCGCTCCTATTTAATCTATTCATGCGCACACATTTGCGGCAACTTTCACAAATCACCGGCATCAGCCATGTCTTCTATGCCGATGACATTACAATCTGATCAACGGGGGCCAATGACAGGAACATAAAAAAAAGACTGCAAGATGCAGTTAACACGGTGCAAGCGTTTCTATGGAAGGCCGGTCTCTCCCTATCGGCGGAAAAATTGGAGTTATTATTTTATCGCCTCAAATACAAGGCACAGAAAGACCTTTACTCAGTAATCAACCTTCATACGGCAGATGGTTCGCCCATGCCAACGGTAGGACAGGTACAAATTTTGGGCATGATAACAGAAGCCAAAGCCAGTAATGCCGCCAGCGTGACGCGTATCTCGAAAAAAAAACTGAAGCAATGGCAAAACTCATCAAAAGAGTGGCCAACAAACGGGGTGAACTGTCTGAGGAAAATCTCGAAGACTTTTCCATGCATTTATTATGAGTCACATCAACTACTTAGCCCCCACCTACCTGTGACAGAAAAGGGACGAGAACCGTCTGGACGTAATCATTCGTCGTTGCGTTGAGCAGGCCCTCTGGTTACCAGGAAACACCCACACGGTAAAGCTCAATGAGCTTGGTATACATAACACCTTCAGCTGAATTGCTGAAGCACAGAAATTTACCCAGCTTGTAAGGCTATTTTCGTCTAAGGCTGTGTGACGATTACTGGCTCATCTTGGGTTCAATTCTCCGGTTACCCAACAATGGCAGTGCCAGCTCCCGAAAGTGTTACGCGCTAAATTCGCAGTATCCCCGATACCCCGAAACATGCACGCCACGCATAATGTGGCGAGAAGGCAGGCACGGGTGCTAGCCCTACTCAGTATTGCCGCCGCTATGCAGGATCACGTGGCCTTCTTAGATGCAGCGCAATACGAAAACTCAGTCACATTTTTTCGTTGTCACCGCACTTAAAGGCGGCCATTTGTCGTCACTTAACTTGTTACTCGCGAACGTGATAGCGCTGAACAGGTTGCGGTAGCACTAGATCTCGCTACCACCAAACGCACAGCTATCTACACAGACTCGCGAGCAACCGCCCGAGCTTTCAAGACGGGCTCGGTATGCCATGAAGCTGCTCGAGTTCTCTCTGCTGCTAGTTTTACACACAAAAACCACATTATCTGCTTCCCGGTAAATGTTGGCCAACACGTCCATGGAACCGAGTTGGCGCACTCCCGGGCGCGAGGTCTTACATTCTTCGCCGGTATAAACCATTGGGAGACAGAGGACATGCTTTAACGTCACCGAGTTCCACTCCTAACTTTTCAATAAATTTGTAAGTACTATCAATTGGAACGACGTAGGTTCCCCCTCCCGCATTCGACTTTAAACAGAGCTCAGTCTATCACGTTACGTCAACTACAGACTGAGGCATACATTTCTCCCCTGAAGTGCCTTAAATATATGGACGGTATAGATCCAGGCTGCCCTCGGGGTGGTAACCCGCATTGCACTTTGAAACACATGCTGTGGTAGTGTCCTGCCCTGCGCGAGAGCTCCAGGTCTCCCTCAACGGAGGACTGGCGATCTCTTCTCATAAGTAACGAGATGGAAGACCAGCTGCGGACTATCCAGATTGCCCATCACATGGCCGAGGAGATGCATCTCCCGGTCACGTCGTGGGTGCGGCCCACCGATGTCGCTCCCAAAGGGCGAGTGAGCGTCGTCTTTACATCAAATAAAGTTTTTTGCCTGCCTGCCGGGATCCTGCCGCAACTATGAGTTAAGGCGAGAAGTAAATTTACCAGTCATAACAGAAAATGAAACGGTGATGAATCGGCGTCAATAAGATTGGAACACAACAAAAACGAGCAGTGGAGAGGGAATCATCCCTTTATTTTGTAGAATTCACGAGCACTTCTAATTAGGTGTGCTGATTCCTTCCGCCCAAAGATGCCGCATATTCGTTGACAATTGAGCAATTGTACCGCACTCGCGGCGCGAATATCTACTCAGCGACACATGTCTTTCATCAATGCAAACTTACTCACTGGTTCACCTGAAATTCTCATGGTGTGAAGTATGGATTATGGTGTTCAATAGCTGTTTAGCTTTCACGACGTGACTTACATTGTCCTCTATGGCGTCGCATCCACCGGTGCTAGGTGACGATTGTTCCATGCTACATGTCGGTGTCCGGTGGCATCGAGTCGTGGTTTACCTAACCGGACGCAGGCATGGTTCACACATCAAAATCGCGTGTTGGCAAAAGCGCAGAAAATGCTCAGTTCCTATGAGTGAAATCGTGACGTAGGTGGCACCAGGCTGTGTCCTCTAGCTCAGCATAACAACTCAAAACCACTGCTTTGTTGCAACGCGCCAGTTTACGAATATATCGGTGCAGCGTTTTCATCATTAGAATCAAATATCTGGAACGTGCTCGTGAAGATAAAGCTTACACCGTTTTCATATCACCACGAACTGCAAGACAAGTTAAATTGGGTATTGCGTCATGCGACAATGACGAGTCAGCCACTAAAGATAGAAATCACCGAACGCTGCTATATAAAGAAGCCACCTTGTCCACAAGCCATTCGGACCTACACAGGCGAAAGATAGTCACAATGCTTGCTAAGTTTGTCTTTTTTGCACTGCTGCTATTTGCGGTTGGTGACGAGCCTGACGACGACAAGCTACTCGCCAGAGCCCACAACCAATTCGCCGTCAAGCTGCTCAAGCAGCTTGCTCTTCAAGATCCTTCGTCGAACATCGTATTTTCTCCGACTAGCATCGCTTCTGCGTTCGGTATGGCCTATGCCGGGGCCAGAGGAAGCTCGGAGGCTGAGCTTGGATCGGTGCTTGGCCACACCACAGTCGGCCTCATGGACCGGGCCAGAGTTCTCGCGACCTACAAGAACTTGCTGCAACTAGCGAAATCGCCGAACGTGACGCTGGACCAGGCCAACCTCGTCCTCATACAGAAGGACTTTTCCATACTTGAAAGCTACCTGAAGAAGCTACGTTCTGTCTTTGGAGCGGAGCTTAGGTCCGCTGACTTTGCCGACCCCATTTCCGGATCCGCAGCGGAAGTGAATGCCTGGGTGCGCGAGAAAACTCGTGGCAAAATTTCCGGTATCTTGAACGAACGTCAGCCCCTGTACATCGTCCTCTTCATCCTGAATGCGGTCTATTTCAAGGGCACCTGGGTGACCAAGTTCGATGCCGCCGACACCATGAACCAACCCTTCTTCAACATGGGCACCTCGGAGGTGAGCAGGCCAGCGATGTACCTCGCAACGCGTCTCCCGCACACTACAATCGACGGCCTGAATGCGTCCGCTGTGGAAATTCCTTACAATGGAGGCAAGTTTGGAATGGTGGTCCTGCTGCCCGATAACCCTACTGGGCTTCAAGCGGTCAGAGACGGTCTGTCAGCCGCTGTAATTGAAGCTCTCAGTGACAGTATGTACAGCCAAAACGTTGTACTAAGGCTTCCTAAGTTCGAGATGAGCCAGCGCTACGACTTGGTGCCCGCAATGAAGGCACTCGGGCTACACGTGGTGTTCGAACGCTCAGCCGACTTCGGCAGAATCGTCGATGGTGAACGCGTCCACATTTCCGATGCCGTTCACGAAGCAGCCATTGAGGTTAACGAGGAGGGAACTGTTGCAGCTGCCGTCACTGGCTTGTTCGTCAGGCCGACCGCACCTCTACACGAACCGCCTCCCCCAATTTTGTTCACCGTTGATCACCCTTTCTTGTACTATATCATGGAGAAGGATAACAGCCGCATTCTTTTTGTCGGCGAAGTCCACAGTCTTTAAGTTGAAATGTCTTAAATGATTTTACTTCAAACACATATTTAAATGCGGAAGGTGCCTCTGAAATAAATTCTGTATTTTTTTAAACAACCACTAGATCCACCGCTTGGTTTTGATGAATTCGGGGAGCATTCAACACGGCCAAAATAAAAACATCGTTTGCATGCGTGACACTGTCTGTCAAGTGCCCCTCGAAGGCGAAAGTTACGAAATCCAAACGGGAATACAAATGGGTTCCTTGCTTAAGAAATAGCGTGCGAGGCGCTACGTAAGCGACACGCGCTAAATCACTTCGACGCTCTCGCTCTATCGAAACACTATTCTACTGAATGTTTCTGCCCCTCGCCACATCTTCGCCAAGCGGAGATGTGATGGAATCATGCGGGACCTTTTGATGTAAGCATTGCATGACTTCACATATTTCTACTGTCAGTGACGCCAGAAGGTAATAACTACCAGGAATGTACATCACTTTCTTTGTTCCACGTCATTCGCTCCAAATCAAGGGCCCTCTGAACCCATGCGAAATTATCTGTGTGATAGCGCGAAGTGTTGTTGATTAGAGCGGTCAGCTAAGCTACCCAGTAATCATGTGACTCGACTGCGATCAGTATATAGGTGGCGTGCCTGGTCTGCCTCCTCCCTCACTTTTCACTTCTTTTTCTACCGTTGCTCTTGCGGCCCGATGTAGCAGTAAATTGCTTGCCACTGCTCTGCGTTCGTCTCCAGTTTTGAACGTAACATGTCGTGCTGACGAGTTACTTTGAACCTGCAGCGACGCTGTCATCACGAAAGAAAGATTCTACCTTGTTTGGAGTTCTTGGGCGGTCGCCGCCAGAATGCGATCTACCGGAACAACAGGGAAGGCAGAGCCAATGACGCAATAAATGGCGCATTCATAGATGCAAGTGGCGAGAAGAATGGCTCCATGGAGCCTTTTCACGATTCCTCAAGTGGTTACACTTCATACGACGAGCGAATAAGTTCGTTTCTCCCCTCCCACAAAGTACCGGAGGAAGACAACGCCCTCGCGTACGTGAAGCCTAACAGGGGCGAAGACATACACCATACTCAAGTTGCTTACCACCCCCGACCTCCCATTAAGAACGTCTTACGACCCCCTCATGAAGCTACTAGGTGACCATGTGGCCACCGATGTCTTCAGTAATAGGTGAGAGAGCCAAGTTTTATCGGTGGTTTCAGCGTGAAATTGAGTTGATTGCCGGATTTGTCGCGGCACTGCGTTCCCTCTCGAGTTCGTGCGAGTTCTTCAATATCACAAACCTGGTACTTGGAAACAGATTCGTTTTCAGGTGAAAAAGACAAGATATTCAGCGAGGGTTATTCGCTGAAGACAAGAAGTTCACATTTTAAAAGGCAGTGGAAAAAAAACGTGCTTGATTCCCCTTTTTAGGAATCGGTATAACACGAAAGTGAAATGTGTTTTTGCAGAGGTTGTTGAGCATTCATGTGCATTGTAATAAATGCTGCAGTAACGAATTGCAACTTCACTCGAAGACTGGCAAGCAGCTCGAAACTTGCAGCGCGCATCTCAAGCAGAAAGCACGCACGAAAGGAGGATACACAAGACGAGCGCCGACAAGTGAATGTCACAGCTGGAAACACAAAGCGCGCTGCGCAAACAGAAAGACACCACTACGAGGAACACGACTCACACCCTAAGAAGATTCGCCCCTGAGTGATAGAAGAGGATTTTAGCGACGGGATTGCCTCATTCACGCAAACCACGACTAGCTTTCAATTTTACTGGACACACTTCGACAGCGAGAGTGACAACGGTGACAGCTACATCTCTGAACAAGAATATCTAAAGTGAATGTAGACGAAGACGACTTTGTAGACTCAGTTTATGTAAACTGTAATATGCTGACGTGTGCTCGTGCATAGCTCACGCGTAGACACGTGCTTCAAAAATCTAAGTGCACCAATATCCACCACAAATAAAGCATGTTTTCAAATGCTGCTGTACGCTTTTATATTACTTTAAAAATACACATTACATCTCATTGCTATTCCTTGCCCACAGCCTGTGTCCTTTGCATGTGAGGTCATCTGAACAACGAATTTTTTATTACGAAATCCATAATGTTGGGTAGAAAAGCAAACGCCACTCTTTCCAAAACAGAAGTTTAATGTAGGCATGCTTTCTCCGCATATACAAATTCTATAAATCTTATGACTAAAAATATTCCACTCTTGCAAAGAAGATATATATACACACATCTTTCCACAAATGTCGTTCATACATTAATATTCCTCACGTCGCTTGCACACGGATGATAATTCCAACTTACATGCAAGGAGGTTAAACGATGCTCACATGTCACCAATGTGAGAACGCGATGACGCAGAATGTGCATTTCTTATAGAAACTGAAACACCCGGCACACATGGCCGGACTACTTGACGGAGAAACACGTGTACATAAGCTCAGCCCGTGTCGCGCTTTGGAAGTGCTGCCACAGAGAGTTCTCGCCGGTTATAGAGACACTCGATTCCTTGAGGAATACTCGTAGAACAGTTGCTTGAAACAGTTATTTTTTGTAAGTTTTATCTCTGATGAGTGTTACGATGGATGACCAGCATCTTGGAGTGGTTTTTTCGCTGTGAAGCGTGCGATGTCTTGGTTTCAGCACTGATCGAGGAACACCGACTTTGTCGGCTAGTATTCTATTCGCACCTATGTGTTTAGAGTTGTGAACGTTTCTCCCGAATGTTTTTGGGTGTCAGCGATAATGCTATTCCGCTATCTGGTCTCATGGAATGTTTCTATAAGTGCCAAACGTTTTACATGCCAGTTTGTGAAAACAGTCTTTTTCACCAATACTTATGTTGCATGTGAGGTTTGTGCCCATCGACATACATGCTTCTATGCAACAGTCACCAATTAATACACGAGTACAATTACATTATTTGGCCTTTGCTCGGAGTAGTTGAAGGTTTATATAAAAAATCGTTACATAGCACTTTCAGCATATAAACGACAGTACTCACCAGATCTTAAAAATAGTGACTCGCGTATCATTTGCACTACTGTGCACGAAGTGTATAAAGATTGTGTATTATACTGTTTTGGAAAGATGTATTGATGCTCTTCGTTTTCTATGGTAAATATATAGCTTTTGATAGAATTACGTTGCATTTGTCCTTCTGCTTTTAATGAGCAGTCACTGTGTATCAGTTTATTCTTTGTAGGTGGTGTACAAAGACATGAGCACACTCACTCAACGTATCAAGGTGTGTTTCAAGACTTCATACAAGTGTTGGAATACATGCTGTTAAGTCTCGATACCGTGTCCTTGGCAGTGTCCTTGGCAGTGTACTGGTTGACCAGGTCATCTCTCAACCATGCTAATGCGCATGCAATCGTAGTGAGGCGAAATATGGCAATTTTTCATTTTCAGGAGTGAAGGAAGGATTGCAGTTGAAAATTTACAATTAAGAAACTTACCATTGCCAGCGGAATTGTGGAACCTGAATGTTTTTCCTATTCTAGCTGGGAAAGTTCGGAGTATCAAAATATTTCCAGGTTTCATAATCCGCACGGGAATGAAAATAATTTTCAAGAGGGTTGTGATACGGCTTACAACATACGGCTACGGCTAGCTCAAGTAGCATCGCTGCTAAATTAGGATAACGCAAACGAGAAGGCATGATCTAAAAAGCAAAGAAATCAGTCAGTCATATAAAAAATATTCCCGCCATCTTCCTAACAAACGTCCACTAATTATATCTCATAAAGACCAAAGCGCCACCTATGAACCACGCTGATTTTTCTGCATTTTGCTCAAGTAGAACGCTCAGCGCTGCAGCCATATCACACGCTTTGTGCAAAGCACGAGCTGTAGCCTGTCTTTTCTACGGCATAGCTCACGCTCGTACATATTCTTCTGTAACTGTTCGAACGCAAGTGTTGTTTGTGACCCAGTGGTTTCAATATAGTATATGCAATGCTTCAAGCCATGCAGACTAATGTGTTGAATGCACTCAAGCCATCAAGATAATGCAGCGAGAAAAAATCTTAGGACATTAGCTGGGGTCACCACTGTGAAAGTTAGCACAAACCCATATCAAGTGTTGTTTCAACTATATAACTAAACGTTTTGCCTTACCATAGAATGGCTACGAAAGAGAAAATAGAAGAGGCAGTGCCCTTCTACACTGAGGATTCCGCCCTCCACTTTTTTCTCGTGGTTTATTAATTCGAGGCTGATTTTCTGCTTCATTGATTTTATTTCAAAGAAGCTGCATATAATGCATCGTGGGATCACCTCAAAGTAGAACTCGGGTAAATGTTTCACTCTTCAGAATTTCGCTCGTTTCTTCCAAATGCCTGTGAAAGTGCATTAGCGGCATTTTCGACTACTCCAAGAGGAATGGCGCTGGCACTGTTTGGTGCGATGATGAGCGCAACTGAAACGTAAAAAAAAAAAGCAGTAAATGTGTTTCATGAGATTCATATACCTAATGTATAGACACGCCAAAACCGAAAATTGAACAATATCCTACTTATTTCTTATACGTACAGTTTCTGTTCTGTTTTACAGCGCTATTATCGATGCTAAATATTTTGAGACGCTGAACTTATAATATTTCAGGAGTTTATTACTAAGTCAAACAAATATTTGCAGTGCAAAGCGTGTGTCTAATGCAGCTAACTGGATAGCGCCTTTTTCTATTTCTCTAAAGAGCTGGGTGGACTTGTTTGTTTGACTTTAGTTTTCTCTTTTTTGTTCTCGCTTACTTGCTTGACATGAAAGTGTTTAAGGCCCGGATTCAGTGACGTATTTTCGTCACAGATATGATGTCGTATGCTAACACTAACAAATGCCAAGAACAAAAAAATTGAAGAAAAAACTCCCAAGCATTTCCCGAGGGTGAACATGGTTAAGTGCAAATACACGGGGTGATGCTATGAGGGGTATTTATTAATTCGCACTATTATATTTATTAATCACACTATGGTGCCTTTATGGTGTAATGGTTCCTGGGAATCGCAATTTGATCACACGGGGGAGTTTACGTTAACTCACTGGCGAATGCCAACGGATTTTAACTTTACTCTCCCTCACGACCCGCTCTCGACGGGAGACTGAGAGAGAAGGCGGGCGCGCGAGAGAGAGGGGTGCGCGCGCAGCTGCAGCGAGCGAGGAGAGCGGAGGAGCGAGCGAAGGGGGAGGGGGTATAAGGCGCGTTACCGACACCGATATCAGCGTCGCGTCCGTGGCTTATTCGGTAGAGCGTCGCGCTGCGGCCCGCCAAGTCCTCTTTCTTTTAAAGATAGAGAGAAGACTGCGGACGCCGCCGACGGCGGTGGATGGTTGGGGGTCGCTTATAAAGTGTATTCACACCTAAAAGTTGTGTTCCTTTGCGTGGAGCTTTAACCAACTGCTCAGTAGCGTGAAGCTAAATTGGTTCGGCCCCAAAAAAAATTTAAGGACGTCAACTTACTAACGTCCACTTAATTGCACACATCATTTACGCTGCTAAGGGCTCGGTAACCTCAGCGTGTTTTTGTCACCACTTGGGAGTTGCCACGAAGGGTGCATCTTCTCTGACGCGTTTAGATGCCCGTGTGGAACTCCGGGGCATCACCACTGCTGCACGATCGCATATCTCGTGATGGGGTGCTTGTAATTTCATCGTAAGTGTGCTTTCAAGTTACCCAGAGAGCACTAAAGGGTCTTCGCTCGCTGAGAGTGTTATGTTTGCGATAAGTGCACGCTGCTTACATTAAAAAAAAATAACAAATATCACAGTTATTAATTCGCCGTCATCTTGTCTATACTTGCACGTTTGTTTGGTGCGTCCTTATTGGTGTTTGAGAAGCGCGGCTTAAGTGTCAAACCGCGACAGTTAGTTCGCGCTAGTCCTGTGTACGTTCTTTTCGTGGGTAATGTTTTGAGGTACCTGCCAAAGTGGGTCCTCTTTTTCGGGCTGCTGGATATTCTTAAGGTGACATGAAGTTTGGTTGCTATACCAATAATTTCTTTTCCCTTGTGGTGAAACAATGATACTGGTTGTGTGAAAAAACGATACTAAATACTTATGAAGGGAGGCAGGCGCGCCTAGAACAGACAACTGAATCAAGAAGCTGAGAGAAAAGCTCACCATATAAATATTTTTCTTGGCCAACGGAGGCTGTCTGAATATAGCTTCCAACCTGGTATGCATTCCTTGTAGTATTTGCTGTTAGGAAGGCTAGATGTTTTATCGTGGCAGCAATATACTACTTGAGGTGGACGTAATTTGTGGTATTGTTATACAATGCTGAAGTAGATCACGTGTTGAGTTAGGAATGAGTGTTCACTTGACGAACCCCTATGAATACCTCATAGTTCTTATTTATATAGGAGCTGTGAACTTACCAAGTGCAGCAGCAAGCCCCAGAAGGAGGTATTTGGGGAAGATGCTGTCCATGTCTTCAACTGCAAAGATCAAGCAGATGTGTTATGGGCAATACTGTTTATTTGCTAAGTATGTGTTATGGGCAATACTGTATATTTGCTAAAAATACAAGGCTTACGACGCTATCCTTGTACTACAGCAATAAAAAAAACGCCAGGCCTGCTCGGAAGGTGCAGCACAGTCACAGCGAAAGTTAGACGAGCGGTCTTTCAGAGCCTTTTCTAAACACTCATTAATTATTGCAAGCACACTAGCTTCATACCTGCTACGGCATTAATAATAAAATTTTTGGGTAGTTGGCCCGCATTCGCTATGCTATTTTTGGATATTCTTGTGAGAAGCATGGTACCCGCTAAACAGTTGCAAGAAATTTTGTGCCAATTGTTCATGCAGTGGCTGACGATAATGAGTAATTATGCCTGAAGTGGGTATGCGCCCCAGTTAATAGTTTAACAAGAACAGGCTTTCTTAATAGGTTGGAGAATCGGACGAGCCACTCGTTACGCTATTTGCATTGTGCGGCAACTGGTTGTTCTTTCGCTGTTTAAAGCGCTCTATAAGTCTTAATATAGTGATTGCTGTTCTGACATCAAGCCTCCCTAAGACAAGTTTGCCACGTAGTCCCAAGCAATGGCATGGCTGCAGCTGCTCAAGTGCGCAGTACTGTTGAGACTTTCGACCCCATTCCGGAGTGGCTTCCCGTTCTAGACGCTTGTGTGTGTTTGCCTGACTTCTGATGGAGTATGTTGTGTGTACTTTACTGGTGATAATTTCATTCATTAAAGGGAAAAAAGCAACGGCATGGCTGAGTGGCGGAATGCTGGTCTAGCACCCAGCGGACCCGAGTTCGAGCCCCACTGTGTCATTAGTGCTATATACTTTTTTCCAATTTCGTGCGATGTGGTTACAGTCACCAGCGGTGGCGGCGGACAACTACAGTGCTAGGCATGACACAATTGTTTATCTCATAATAGCTTAAGCTGTAAAACAAATTTTCAACACAATTAGCACGTCACAAAAGTCACAGAGTTTGCCTATCAGCCTAATTATTATTTTCTAGATAGCCGTGTACCCGTATGCTCTAGGTTACCACAATTTGATAGATAGATCATAAAAGTATTGTACACTGTGATACAATAAAGTTTCACAAAATAACAATAAAGTTTCGCAACCAACCAACCAACTGAGATAACCATACATTGTTAAAAGTACTTCAATATAGAGCTAATCACACACAAACGTAGCTCCAAGGTGCTAATGTGTACTGCCCATGCCCTACTGCTGGTCACTGTGCTCCGTGCCCAGCCCCTAAGCAGCCACTTAAGGGCTTCGCTTGTCGGCGTCTTCTTTTGTCACGGTGTGTCAAGTAGTCATGGTCCAACACAAAAACAGGTACAACTAACAAATTTGGGTAAACTAAACTACTCATCACTGATTAAATAGAAATGCAGGAGTCAATACCAAATAGCAGATGGCATTAGTGGAGCTAAAACACATTTCTCTTCATGCCATAGGAAACTGAAACTGGACTTGCAGAGAAGAAGACGCAGCTGTAGTCATAGAGGGGAAAAAACGTAAGGAGGAAGCATGACGTAACGCAGCCTGCCTTGGCAAGGCATGCCGTTTTGAAACCAGCGTTATCGGCCCAACACGTCATCTTCTGCGAAGGATCACGACAGTAACGAGACATGCCGATACTTCGTAAAATGGGACCTGGTAGTTTTGATCGAAACACGCTGGCTCAGCGTAGAGAGCCAAGCTCATGCACAAGGTTCATAAACGGAACACCACCGACGGTCATAAAACCTACAGCACGCACTGACGTTCTCATCACGTGTTGGCTGACACAGTGAGCTTCATTCGTGTGACGTAAAGCTACCCCCATCCTTCTTTTCCTCCATACCTGGAGGTTGCTGCATTTTGCCGCAGTTTTTCGATGAAGTCCGCCGGCAGTGGCGTGGTGGCACCCTTTCCTACATTCCCTGTGCGCTTCGGCTCTCTCCAGCTTTCTTTCAAACGTAATTTTTTAGTATATTTTAAGATTAAGAAGTTATCAGATGGCGGGGCTTTCGTTTTGTTTTCGGGCTCATTCGATGATTGAAATTTCATTGTTGAATGCCAGCGAAGGCAAAACTGGGCAATATATTCGAACTCCAAAGAAGCGCTACAAATGATTAAGAATTTTTATTTTTTTGATATGGATAATAGCATATTATGTGAAATCTTCTAAACAATTGCCATTGGTTAACCAGACGGCCACGAGGCATGTTTTCAGCAGCTTCCAAGTCACGCAGGAGTGATGGAAAATGAAATTGCGGACACATTAGCGACTGCTGCTACAAAAAAGTTCACTTGACACTAGTTCCCAAGGATTCCTCAAAAAGCAAGAAGGTTATTTCCGAACTGTGTCACAAATTGTGCAAGGACTCTTGCTTTGACGAAAATACAAAATCCTCACTCTATTATTAGGTAGATCCACCTATCCGTTTTTTAGCTAAAGAAAAGGTCGATAGACCATTCGACATGCAACGGCACCGTCTGCTATTAGGTGTTGCATACACACCTCACTCCTTATGCCACACAGATAGAAGAACGTGCCTGGACGGTGACCACGGCAATTGTGTTGATGCGTCAGGAGAGCATATCCTTATAGAATGCCCACAATATGATTAAAAACGCGCTGAACTGAGTGGTCGCTTTAACCAACTCGACAGACGACCACTTACGATCGGAAAAATAGTTGAACCGTCGCCACACTTCGACAATCAATAACGTCCAGTGCGTGCCTTCCGTGATTATCTAAAGGACACAAGTTTACAGAAGTGTCTTTAGTTCATTAGATGTGACCCCAATTTATGAACAGGACTAAACTCATATATGCCGTACCTATTCACGCCTTAAAAGCCCGATAGGGTGTGTGTATATCAGTACACACCACATTTTATCATTATTTTTTTTTCTACTCCTAATTTTACGTAGTCTTATATTTAGCTTTAATATTACTGTCATGACGTTAGGATAACTGGCTCTAACACAGCCTATACTTTTCTATATTTCACCAAATATAAATAAATAAATTAATTGAAATACACAATGCCATCAGCGTTTTTATATCATCATCGTCATCATATTTTTTAAACATAAGCGTATGTTCTGATCAAGATATCAGTGTGCATCATGATCTTTTGCTCAGTAGCTGTTCACTGCGTAAACCATGCGCGCGCATAGTTGGTTAGCGCTGTGATCTTTCTGAAAGTGCGGTGACCAAGCTTTGTCACGTCAGTAGTGTTTCTGACAAGGGGTGCGTTAAACGGCTTTCGAATATCGCCTTCTTCAACTAGCACGGTTCAGCGAAGTATTGCGAAAGGTCTTGGGCGAATACACAGTAAAACCTACAACTGATACAAAACAGCAACAAAAAGATTACAAGCATCGCATCCGAAACAGAGAACACAAAAGGCACTCATACAAATGAAATAGAATCACATAGGTGGAGTGTTAGCGTGTTTCTAAATGCGAAGCATTTGTTAGAGAACTTCGTCGACTTTGAGTGAGCAGATCTATATATATATATATATTATCTATCTATATAACTACTTAGCCACCTTCGGCTTTAGCTCTCCTGGGCGTTTCGATTAAGGTCCGAACTTAGCACGGCAAAACATGACTGTATGACTAGTCGTTCTCACTAGTCGTAACAAGAAAGTCACGACATGTATGTTATGAATGCTATGATTTACATTTCATGGTCCTGCTGCTCTTGCGGTGGTTTTGTACACATGAAATGTTGCAAAACTGGTATAGTAGGACATGACTGCGTGGCGAACATAAGTGACACACCCCAACGTAGAAATCATGACATGCATTTCATGATTTTCATGTAATGACTAGCCATGACTACATGTTGTGCTCATGGTGCGCTCTCAGTTATTTCGCTAGCTTCTCATATACCAAATTTAGTATTACGGGATGTGCATGGATGACGAAGGTACATGACTGGTGCAAACATGATAATCATGACATGAATGTCACGTGAAAACATGACGTCATACCAAATTAATGATGCGCTCGCGGCCCTTTCGCAAGCTTCACATGTAACAAATTTAGTATTACACGGCGTGAGGGAATGACGAAGGTAAATGACATGTACAAACACAATAATCATGACATACCTGTCATGTAAAACACGACTCCATGCTACATTCATAGCGCGCTGGGAGCCGTCTCGCTATCTCCACATATGCCGAAATAGGTATCACGTGACGTGACGTGAATCACGAAGGTGAAACTTTTCTCATTTCAAGGGGCGTCCAAGAACCGAAACATATATAACTAGGTGAGATATGGTTGCCACCAGCAGACTGCAGATGATGCGAAATATTTTCCATCATATACACTTGAAATCTTGAAGACTGAACAAAAAGCTATGATGTCACAAAAAATACGCACGTTTCAGAATATACTTCCTGATTTTTTTCAAATAGTTGAAGAAGACTATGTGTCCAGACAAGTCGTTTCACGCATCTCAAATATCTAAAAGGTATACTTGTATTCCCCTTTTACTTTTCTAATCAGAGTAGTAAAGCAGATGTGCAAATTGAAGCAGATTGCGGCTAGAATGCAAGTTTTCAATGAAGACCAATGGTGCTGCTCGAGATAGGTCACCTTACCGCTGAAATATTCGATGAAATAGCAGTGCGATCTGGTAGACCCAGCGATGTTACTAAACTCGCAGATCCTCTTGGCTCTTTTAAAGTGCTGACGAATCTCTTTCAAGTACCTGCTGTGACGTATTTTGAGAGTTTGGAAGAGGGGGCAGAGAGTTGAGTTTTCAAATAGTAATTATTAGCACGAGTGAACCTTGCTCTCAAAACTATACAGTCAGCCACTGCTAATTACAATTCCTTTCGCAGCTCGAACAATGAATGAGAAAGAAAACCAGAACTGAAGCAGCTAAACTACAACGTCAATTAGGCCAAAAGTGATATGCCCGGGATCATTTTTCAATTTGTCTATGAATAGTGGTATTTCTATTCTGATGGGCACGTTCCATCATACAAGTCACGTAAGGCGAAAAAAAATACTCTCCCGTGGATATTCAATGTTTCCCAAATGCCTTAATTATTACACTTCAAAACAGCCAACTTGTTAACGTTCATGTTGCAGTGATCCCCTTCGTATGGCAGGGCATGTCAAGAGCATTGCAGTTAACCACAAACGACGCCGTCTTTGCAGACCATATATTTCAGTTCCCTGTATCTAATTATAAAGCACTTTCATACGCCAGAAAACGTAGGAAGATGAAATTGAGAAATGAGCATATGTTGCTGTTCGTTCAGGAGTCATTCTAGGTTCAACTCTCTGTATTTTGCCCCGGCATAAATAAAGTGATATAATTTGTGGAATAGAACTTCCTGTTTAGCACAGATGATGTTCTTCTAAAGTGAACAAATATGTGTAACCATATGTTCAGTCGGTATTAAGATTTGATTGCATGGAACATAGGTTTATACTTTGAGACAAAAAACTTCGATTGTTTTTACATTTTTTTTCTAGGACACTTGAGATTGGTGGCGTGATTGTGACGTTTGTGTGAACTCAGGCTATTTGTGATGCATTATTGATTGAAAAATTTATTCAACAATAAAGCGTTTTTTCGGTGGTTGTGGTTGTAACATAAACGTTATAGCACTTTTTAGATAAGAATTGAAGTAGTTTTAGGCCGTGGAGTAGGACAGAAGACTTCTGTTATGCAGAAAAAAGTTTTCTTCAATGCCAGCAGGCGCAAATTATTCCACCATGTTTCAAAAGTACAGCGTAATACTGTCTGTGCGAAGACGCATGTAATGCGATGGTGATGCTAAACACTTAGTGAGCTCCAGGCATATCTATCTATGTACCAATCTATAAATCTATCTATCTATCTATCTATCTATCTTTTTCTGGGTGCTCTCGTGGTCGTGTCTTTTAGCTGGACAGATAACAAAATTTTCATAAAAGGGAGTTTATATGACGAAGACGATGGACAAGTTGTTAAATAAACGACCGGCTATTCTTGTTGTGTACGTCAATGAAACTTTTCCTTCTGTCCCTTATGGCACACACCCGCATACCATGGCCTAAAGAATTCGGGTGTGATGCACTTGTGAAAAACGGAGAATCACACAGAGACAAGAGATTTTCGAAAATATTTACGTAATGGATTTATAGAGCTTCTGTCACCGGTGCACCAGATATCGGTAGCGTTGACAATGACGAAAAAAAATTGTACGTAAAGAAAGATGGAAAAATGTGGTGTGAGCCAGAATCTGATTCGAGCACTCTGCCTGGTATTGAAGTATCTACCACAGAGCTGCACCAGTGCTCCAACCTTTTTATGAAGAAGACCTCATAATGGCCTCATATCGCGGCAACGTTTTCTGATGTTACAGTGTTCGCTATAAGCTTTGTAAGAGTGTATATACGAATACATATTTACTCCGATGAAATAATGAATGCCCAACCCAGAGGAATACGATGGAAAGCGTTTAATATTGTGTGCACATCATCGCACACTACCATGCATTTCATTTGGATAAAACAGACATCTGTCTCCTACGTCAGTACCACTTTTGCATCGCACCATTGGACACCTTTTAACATTACTGAAGTCGAGGTGCCCGGTAAGCCAACGATCAATCTAGTAGCCAAGTGGTGTAGATAAGGAGGGCAATATGAGCCTCGTACAACTCCAATTTATTGCATCCTCGAACAGCCACCTCTCAAATAGCTGAGGCACTCAGTAAGTGGTTCCTCACCATGAGAAAGCTATCTCTTAATACGGTTCGGCCCGCAACATAGACACACCTACTCAAAATGCAAAAAATTGTTCATTTTTCAATGCTACAAATAAGGCAATAAGAATGCTACATAGACCACTATTACCTTAGGGCTTCACATGACTCCAATAAAAGTGGAATCTGGTGTAATTTGGTCAAGTGATTATTTCTGCAGCGAGACCGGGAAATACAGAATGCCATAATTAGGGCACGTTTTGCCTCCGAAAAGGAAAGCTGAACACACAATTGATCCATGCTTTACACTGAGAGAGGGGAGACCTGTCATCCTTCGTCGAGTTATTTTCTCTCGATGGGAGGTGTCACCTTGCAGAATGCAGTCATCGAATCGTCCAGCGTTACCGCTGGGGCTGGCGTGAGCTGTGGAATAAAAAGAAACATTTAGATGTGAAGCAGCTCTATGACTAGCCTGTGTAACGCGGTCCCTCCGTCCGCACCGCCCGCACGCCGCAGGTGTTGGAGTGGTGCTAAGTAGCTCATGCCATCCTAGCACTGCGTGGTGACGTCTGTCTGCCTCGCCTGCCGCGTGCTCGCCGCGTGTCCGCTCTCTCTCGCTTCAACGTTTCCACCACTCACAACGCTCAAGCCCACTCCTCACGAGGGCATCATCTCACCAACGCCGACTAAATTTCAAGGCCGAAAGGCTGCCGCAGTGACGTCAGAGGGTGGGGGCCCAGTTACGCCGCGAACGCGGCGGAAAGCCTGTGTTTCGTTCACGTTTTAGGAGAACCAACGCTCCCGTTCTCGCAGCTGCTGCGGCTTGATTGGGCCGAATAAAAGATCCGGAAAAAAAGTCTTACTGAGCATGCTCAGTTGGGTAACTGGGCCCCCAACCTCTGACGTCACTGCGGCAGCCTTTCGGCCTTGAAATTTAGTCGGCGTTGATCTCACCCACGCCACCTCTCTCCATCTGTCGGCGAAAAGGAGCTGCGAGTCGGCGGGTGCGCTGCGTGCGCCTCGAGAATCTTACGGCGCCAGTGTCAAAAGCATGCCGCTGTTTGCCGCTCCATCACGACGACGGGCGAACGCCGTTGCAGCATGCTTCCCGCTAATGTGCGCGTACCTTTCCCAGCTCTCACCTGTGTTGCAAGGGTTAGCGAAGCCGATCGCGTTTGCGAATGGCGACGGCAACACCGATGAGGTGCGAACCGGGGAAGTCGAACGCAAGCGCCGGCAGTGGAAGACCAGCGACACCGGCGAGGTGCGAGTCAAGAACATGGATCATGTTCGATAATACAGATGGCGCGCGGGTCACCTCGACGAGACGTGAGCCAAGGAAGCCGAGCGTAGGCGCCCTCAACGTGTCCCGCCTCTCATGTCTTAGCGTTTCAACGAAAGATTACACGAGTAAACGCTACACCGAGTTTCGCTTCAAATCGTTCTTTTAGCACCCGCGTCAATGCCTGTTTCAACCGGGTCAACGCCGTGCGCACTGCTGCTGATTCGCATCCCATCAGGGTCCCCTTCGGGGAGAAGAAGCGACAATGCATATTTTTCGAAAATGCACATTGTCGCTTTTTGTTAGGGCTTTCATATTTACATTATCGGCCCAGGCACAAAAATATACATTGTCGCTTTTCATTAATGCTTTCATATTTGATATATCAATATCTGGTCATCATGTGAACTGAGAGACAATTATGTCACGGAAAGTTTAGAGGTCTCCATTCTTTAAAGTAATTGAATGTAATTGTAAAAAGAGAAAAGTGGACGTAAAGATAGCTTGCTGTTGGTATGCACCAAATATGCCACCTTCAAATAACGCCTCTAATACTCAGCCAGCTGAGCGGTCACGGCGGCTATCCCCCCGTGCACTTTGTAGGGTAGGTGTGCCCATCTAAACGTGTGAGCGTCCATCAGCACCGCCTGTTGCCATTTCGGTGAGTGTGGGCCACTGTGTGACCGAGCCTCGTCTCCTCTCGTAGTAAAACCCTCAGGAAGAAATCATGAACGTTCACAACGCATCGTACTGCTAAGCCTAACTTTATTACGAGCATCCTCCTCCTCAAGAAGGCCTACCTCCCAAACTGTACTTGCGAAGTTCAAGGATGAGAAATAAACGTTATTTTTCGAAACGGTGTAGCAGTGTAGGTTCCAAGTCCCCCTTAAGTGGGAGTCTCCTCATTCCAGGAACCCTCTGGCCTTCGCTGCCTCCTTGGCCCTGGTGACGAGACGTCGTTGTTGGTTCCGGTTCTCCAAGGCGAGCTTGGCCTCCCACGTTTCGAGAAGGTATTTGTTTTCTAGAACAGCGTCACAGGTATTTTGTGGAGGTGATAGGTTTGCATGTATTTTGTAAGAACACTCGAGGCTCAGGTGTGCCAACGTGTCAGCTACGGCACATAACGGGCAAACATATTCATGTAGTGCTGGTACAACGGGTACAATAGTATACCGTGGGTGTATGTTTTTGCTCTACAGTCTTTTAAGAATCGTGCAGTCCTCATTGTTGAGCTTCGAGTGTTGTGGTGAATACTCTTTGCTCGCCAGCCTATGGTGTTGCAGTATTGCAAAGTAAGTTTTAGGTGTTAAGCACTAAGTCTCAAGTGTTAAGCCTCCGCGGACGTGATCGTGGCGTCTAGAAAGCGGGAAGGTGCAGCCCAGTAGGCGTGATGGCGGGCCACGGCGTGAGCTGCCTCGTTTTCCTCCAGGCCTTCTTGAACAGGTAGCCATGTCACACAGGTGAACGGCATCGGAGTCCTTCGGCGCTTCAATATCTGGATTGCTTGGGTAGATACAGGACCTTTGCTGTAGTTTCGCATGGCTGCTTGAGAATCTGTAAATATCACAGCTGCATCCAGGAACGCTGTGGTGGCTGGGGCAATTGCCGCCTCCTCTGCAGTTTCTGGGCTTCGGGTGCTTACTGTCGGAGATCTGTTCTCTGCGCCCAGAGAACCATCGACGCTCAAAGCGTAGGCGTCTCTACCAGGATACTTGGCTGCGCCTGTATATCTGGCGTCCGAATCTTGGCTGTGATTTTGGC